CGATGAAGTGATTAATGTAATTGGCAGCATCCATCACGGAAAACTTTGGCGGATGACGGCGTGATACAAGCCATCAGCAGTAGCGACATTTTGATGTTGATGAAAAGTGAAGAAGTCTATGCTTATAATTGATGTGCAATAAATTTGTTAGCACAGACTTCTTTCTTATATTTAATTGACGAAAATTACTTGCATTGGTTTCTGTACTAAAGACGCTGGACCTGTCGTTATTTGACAACGAAGGATGTCCAGATGGGATTGATACACGAGAAGAAAAGGGCTGTTTCGGCTTCAGACAACTCCAGTTGTATGGGAAGACGCAGATGCTGCTAAATTTTTGGCTCGACATGAGGACATTTAGTACATATGTCATCTTTGATTTGGACATATTGGTTATGACGGACATAATACCATCGCTATGAATAATCTCGCAATCGGCATGGATATAGCGCATATAGACAAGTGGGGGTTGTGTGATGGCTGCCCATTGGGGAATCAAACTCGCGTATGGCTTCAATCGACGTCTACGAATCGTGCAAGCGAGCTTTGAGAGGTTAGTCACAGCGACGTGTGCGGCCCCATGCAAACTCTACTCATAGCGGTAAGCGCTACTTTGTATTTTTGGTGAAGACAAGTTTCATTTAATTTGAGCAGAAGTAAGTCAGAAATCGTGGCCAGGTTCACCAATTTTGTTTCTTCGCCAGTCAAACAAATTGGTAAACCTAGACTGGCAAGCGCGTTATACGCCACAACGGGGAGAAGCGATCACAACGTCAATGTTTCTCAAAAATTGGGTTCATCACAGGCTTTTAAACATGAATAATAATCATACAAGCTTTAGACATCCAGAAAACGCTGTTAGCAAGTCTGAAAGCATTTAACTGTCACGTATTCGAGCACGTTCCGAAAGAATATTGGATGTAAAACTGTGATGTGTCAATTTCTGGTATAACCCAAGCATTAAAAGTCGTATCGCTTAAAAGAAATTGTCAACTGGTCAAAGTATTATGAGTAGCTCCAGGATGACACCTTTTACGGTTGAGTGCATGATTACACGGCAAGAACAATGTCATTGAGATTCAGGATGACGATGAGATTTCATTGACAGACACAACAAAGGCGGGGTCTGATACGGATTAAAGTGAGGCTTGGGACACTTATCCTGATCAGGGCTTTTAATTGGGGAGCAAGCGACACACTTTTCCTTCAGTCATTAGAAAACGTGACCGAAACACCCCGGCTCATGCGTCATGTGCCTCGAGTCGACATTGGACAAGAAATGTCGGCTTCTGCTATCATATAGAAGGAGACCTACGAGGTAGTCCACGTCATTCAAGTTGTGAGAGAAATGCCAACAACTTTTAAATTGACAATGGAATCCAGTGACGCGAGTAAGCGAAAATCGGCGTGCGGCTCAAAAATAGTCACTTCATATGAACAAGACGTGGGACGTCATCCACTGCTTTAGGGATTCAAATCAATTGGGTGCAGAGGGGTGTTTAGAGTTCAAGTGGCACAAGACATAGAAATTGAGCGATCTAAGTCCCAGCTTGTGGCCAAAGGGTACTCTCGAAGTATGGAGTCGACTACGAAAGAATATTTGCGCCAGTGGCAAACTTCATTTCGATTCGAATTGTATCGAGCATTGCTGTCAAGTACGGGGTGACACTGCTTAAATGGATGTGAAGACCGCTATCCTGAATGAAGGCTATGATGACACATGCAGCAACCTGACGGATATATCAGTGGAAATAATCAGGGCCATGTATGCGAGCTCAAGCGGTGGCTTTACGGTCTCGTGCAATCGCCGAGAATAACAACACTACCGACGAATTCATGATCACGATGAGTGTCAGCAAGTGTTAGCTGGATCAATGTGTTTAGGTAAAGTGCACTGACGGATCAATTTTTTGTTGTGCTGGACGTAGATGATCCAATTATCACAAGCAGCGACAACGTGCTTTTACTCTCGACTATAAGTGCGCTAAGTGATCGCTCGGAAATGGATTATAGTTTTTTTTCGGTATGAAAATTGGATAGGATCAAGTATCTGGCCAAATCACAATGCGACAATCCAAGTCTATCGAGTCAATTCCAAGCAAGTACGGCTTTCGAGTCAATTTAAGCAAGTGCGGCATACAGGAAAGCATGTCCGTCAAGGCGACTCATGAAACAGACTGAAAGATGACAAAGACCATGGGTGAAGACAGCTGCAGACATGAAAACACGATGAAGAATGTGCCATATAGAATCTGCGTTGAGGGTATCGTATGTCTTATGGTTGCAATGCGCCCAGATCTTGCAGCAGCAGTAGAGACTTAAGACAATTTCGTTGCCGACGCAGTGGCAAGCTCTCAAGCACTTATTGCAATATTTTAGAGCATTCCACTTGCATGGACTTCACTTTTCACGCAGCGGATCAGTGGAGCCTCTTGAATAGTCAGATGTAGACTAGGCTAGATACATTATTTCCCACCGTAGTAAAGCGGCTACGTGTTCATGGATGTGCTAGCTGGCAAAGTACGAAGCAACGAAATATGGCGCTATCTTGTATAGAGGTGGAGTATATGGCCCTACCAGAAGTCATTTGAAGAGCCCTTGCCTCAAGGCTTTCTGCGTGATCTTGGAGACATGTTTGGTCAAAATTTCGAAGACAATCAAGGTTTTGTCGCGCTGACCATGGATCCGAAATTTTACAAGCGCACAAAGCATATCGACATTCACTATCATTTCGTATGAGAAAGGTCGAAGACCGTCAAGTCGCTCCTGAGTATGCCCTACACAAGATATGCTGGCCGACGTGATCACAAAGTAAATTATTTCTGCGCAATTCAACTAGATTCGGATGCAATTTGGGATATAAGGAGTCAACGCTGTCGAGTTGAGCGGGAGTGTTGCCAATAAGCACCTCAAGCATATGTCTCGACCAGCGGACACTAGTCAGTAGTCACCAGAATTGCCAATTTGAAGAGGCAAATCGCACAAGCTGTGAATTTGTACGCCAGCAGGGTATCCAGTGAAATATAAAGTGGGCGCTATCCACTGGCGCATTAAAGGTACATAGATTCAGTTAGGTATTCAGGATTTAGTAGAACCTTAAACACAGGCTTAGAGGTATCACATCGATTTAATGACCATTAATACATTCACGTTGCATTTTGACATCTTGTGCTCAGCTCAATCTTTCTATACGCCTGAGTCTGAATTCTCGAGGATCTTTCTTAGAGTATGCAGGGGAAGACGCTCTTATTGTGTGCGCTAATCCTCTTGTCCGTGTCAGCTGGAGGAGACTCTCAAATGGATGGTGGCGAGTCAACGACATCGAGCGTAAATGACGCAAATCCTAAGCTCAATGGACCCAGCCCCGACCACCTCTGAGTATGTTGGGATCTTAGGTGAACACTGTAGCAGCGTGGTCTTAGGTAAGTTGGCAACATGTTTTTTTCGCAAACAACCTTAGGAAGAACAGCTTTGCTATCTCCGTGAGAATGTGGGCAAAAATCTTGAATGCAGTGATCGCTTTTAGCTTATATCCAGAAATGGGGTAGTTCAGGTTGTCAGTCATCCCCACAGACCAAATTTCCAATACGCCTTCTTTCAAATACCCGCCTTGCTGTAGGCTTAATGAAATATGGGCTAATGACGAGATCCGCGTAGAAATAGTGAGTGTCAGCAGGATCAGTCTTGTTCACAAGTTCATCTGTACCCAAGAGCAATATAGACCTTGAAAGCACTTGCCTTGGTCAAAAGAACGTTCTCGTAGCCTCAGTACCCTCATTTAGGAGGCAGCGGTGCGCGCCCACAAGAAGTATTGTGTAGTCCTTCAAATCCTTCAAAGTCCTTCAAAGTCCTTCATCGACTCTTGTATGTTAGCTACTACCCATCACATTAACCA